GGGGGGGGGAGCATGCATATTGAGTCATAAGCATCCTTACTAATAGCTCGAAACATTTGACAAGTCGTTTTGCCTTTATGATCAATGGCATCACACCACCACCACCACCACCACTACTACTAAGGGTCCAACCATGCCCCGTCCTGAGTTCAGGATGTACGTACAGTATTGTAGCATGTAACTTACCCCCCGAACATACTGACATACTGACATACCTTCGAGTCTGATGGCGACGAGCACCTCGTCATTGTCAGCCTCATCCTCGTCTCTTTCAGGTCTTACCTCACCGAAGACAAAACAGAACACAGTATTGCAAATCTTTTCTCCAAACAAAAAAACCCCCCTGGTTCAAGCATATACACCTTCCATAACAGGTGAGCTTCTTTGGGAAAGTAAATATTCAGACTATTATACTTGCTCGGAAAATCGTCCCCATCAATGGGGACTCGCTCAATACGGCACACAAACACACACATAGACACACCATTGTTGCTGCTGCTGTTGTTGTCCATGTCTCAGGCCAAACCGTGGGCGGGCCACGACTTGGCATTGGCGTTTTCCTCTTACAGAATTCGCCTTCGGTATACCAGGAGTACCAGGAGTAGTCTAGATACGTCGAGAGAGGTGGGGGAATGGGGAACGGAGAGGATTACCAGCTCATCATTGCAGGATGTCTCACCCAGAGGGAGGGGAGGGAGGGGACAAGGAGGGCCCAGAATCACATAGGGACAACACACGAGTCGAATCCAAAGGATACAGTACAAACAATGATGCTGATACTGATGCTGATGATGAGATTTGTTGGTTACAAAAAACAATCATCGCTCGCCACCTCCTCTTCACCACAAACAAGTCTTAACCTGTAGAATGCTCATTCCTAAATGAGGAATAACAAGCAGCCTCTCCTCGGACTTGAACCGAGGCAAGAAAAGCTCGAGAGCTCCAAACGTGCCCTTATCCATGGTTGGGGGAGGAGTCGCCATGTCTTTGTCACTTTTTCCAGAAATCTACGCGACCAAAAATTACTCCCCGTTACCCATCTTATCTAAGCCATGCCGCTTGAACCGTGGTATTGGGAGGGGAGGGCCGATTGTGACGTGATGATGATGACCTTCGGAGATCAGATCATCACATCGGAAAATTCGCCCTTCTGAGAGATAACTTTATCGATCTGAGTTCTCTTTGTTCTTTCTCGTTTCGTTCCCGCCTTCCCCCCTCTCCCCTTCGTGTCTTTTCGCTAGTGTTTTCCATATAGATTGAACAGTCCCAGCTTTCGGTTTTTACTAGTAGAACTTAAGAAGATCCGTAGGGTTATGGCCGGGGAGGTCCGACCGCGTGTTCTTTTGTTGGCAACAGATTCCTTTCAATCAATTGCCCGCCGACTGAACATCAACGAGAAAATAAGATTATTAACTTCGAGATTGGGATTCGAAGAGGGCGCTAAACCGCTTTTCGAATCTTCGAACTTCGCTAACCTGCTAGCTAGACTAGTAGATTTTAAGTTAAGCGCCCAAGTGGACAGCTTTTTCATCTGACTTGCGGGTACGAGGTGCTCACTGTTCCTTCAGTCTCTAACGCGATTTAGCTCCGTGAGTCGTGACTTTTAGTCCCGAAGGGAAGACAGTGGACGAATTAGCGACGAGAGAGCTTAGACCCAGAACGGGCTCGCTCCGAATACGCTCTTTTTGTTTCGTCTCTCTCTCGCTCGCTCGGTTCAGGCCGCGGTTCGGTTGCGGTTAGCCTCGTGGAGAATTGGTTGGTCTGTTCCTACATAGTAGTTGTGTATTAGCCGGCGTCGCTCCGTGTATTCTTACCGCCCATTCTTTCAGCGGGTAATTTTCAGTCTCGAGGTTATTGCCCTCTATCTGGAACCCGAGGGATGGTCCCCCCTCCCCAGATCTTGGATTTGGGTCCTATACATAGCAGTAGAGGAGGAAATCTGATACAAGCGATCAGAGTGTGAACCATGGTTCAAGACGCTCAGAATCTGACTCGATCGACAACGGCTTCCGTGAATCACCGAGAAGTAAATCGACTAGTCGAGGCGTGCTAGCGAATGTTGAGATCGGTGGCGTGGCAATCCTGGACAGTAGACACAGTGCATGCATATCGCTGGATGACCTCACCTGGGAAAGGAGGTGATGGGTCACTGATCTGACTCAAGATATGATAGAGTTTAGGATCCTGGCTTAGTTGAGAATTTATCCGGCCCTTTGCTGGTTAGCGGCACCCATCATCATCCTTCTCTCCTCGCTCTCTCTCTCTCCTCGCCTCTGCCACCATTCCCTGGTTTGGAGGCACACCAACTCACAATCCCACTCCCCTTTCTTTGAGAAAAGCAAACAACGTTGTTTTCCCACTCATCTGAATCGACGGCTGTTCCTGAATCCACAACACAATTACTCGATTAAGTTTGGTGTGCCTTGTTCCTGAACCAAAAAAAATCCAACTTCTGGGACTTTGATCCACAGCGAGAGGAAGTGCCGAGGGAAAAACACCTCCTGGTTTGACCCGATCGGGAAGATGATCGTCCGGCGTGCCTGGACGGCCCCTGGGAGAAGAGTGGATCGTGGCCAGACCCCTCAGGCACAGCTTCTCCGTCCATGTTTTTTTGACGCCACTGACTACGCTTCGGTCTCCAGTCGCCCGTGCGGTAGTGGGTGGTTCGCATCGGAGATGATGCCCACTTGGTGCTTCGCGCGCCTGTTAGGCTCGAACAGATGGGGGAAGGACTTTTGGATTCGAAGAGTCCGAAGGAACAGCGGAAAAAGGAACTCCTTAGCTCGAAGCGAAGGCCCAGTTTGGAATTTCTCGGTGCGATTTGGAGTTTGTGTCTTGGCCGATCAATTCGAATCAGCGGTGTTGGACCGAGTGTTTGAAAGTTTTCCTGCACGTCCTTCAGTTGAGTTAGTTACGGGCCTGGCTGTGAAGGGGAGCAAAAGACGGAAGGCTGCAGAATCGCTAGTCTGGTCTGGATTCTGTGTAGTCTCTCGCACTTACTGACTGACACTGACACTGACACTGACAGCTTGTCTTTCGATTCTCTGATGAGACTGCCATTGTAGCAGGTTGAGTATTCAGCTCCATTCTTTGCCGCGGGATTGTAAATGATGGAACCTGAAGCCATTGAATTATGCTTAATTAACCGTACTATAGAAGGCAATTTAACCCGAGTTCCTTCCTTGATTCCTTGCGGGGTGCGGAATGCCTCAGGTACCGACCGTCTTAGGTGTAACTTGCCCCATTAGGCAGGTATACGGAACCTCCTCCAGCAACAAGCCTGCTTTATCACTACACCAACCAACGAAATGACTCCATACTAATCTATATCATATCACTTTTCTTCTTCCTTCAATGTACACTACCCTCTATTTGACACACTCCAGTCTCGGAGAAGAACGTTCCGCTCACTAGTCCATCCACTTTAGACAGATTCTGGTACCGGGTGGTCACACCGACAAGGAAAATTTGAGCTGTAAGCTGAGTCTGTATCCCTTTGTCTCGGTCACTCGGGCATTCCTCGCCAGATTCTCGCGGACACGCTGATACCACCTCTCAAGATCTCACCACCGATCGGCTCTCCTCAACGGAATCACTCCCTCGCAGCTCCGCTGGGGCTGTTCCGATTCAGATCTAAGTCTCACTTCCCCGAATTCCGTGCGATCAGCGGTGGAGCTAGCCTAGCTTACATTCATCGGCAAGCTGACAGCCGGAGCGAGTTCCAACCTTTCTCGACCCATTTGCGTGCAGCCCTCTTGGAATGAGGAAAAGTCTCATCGAAGTCACAAGTACCTGCAAAGGTCAGCGTCAATCTCTCTTGTCACGGAATAAGATCAAGACAAGACGAGCTGGTGTAACGTACCCCCAGGCACCCGGTTCTTGAGGAGAGACAAAGATTTTCAGAAAATTTGTCCGAGGGTGACATGACTGAGACTGAGAGTCACGAGACTCGCTCACGCTCTGCTTGTTGGCGCGGACCTCCTCAGGTTGGGTTCACGGAAGAAGGCGGTCCATACAGTATTGTTGGTTGCCATTTCTCTTCAGTTAAGCTCAAAATGCTGTTTATCCCCGATGATCAGTGATCGTCGGGTTCGGGATGTGAGGAAGACGCGGAGAATATGCTCGATGACACCCGACCTCAGCAACCACGGCACTATAAATAAAATTGCGCCTTCATCCCTACAACACAGCGTCATTTGGGACTGTACCTCATACCCAGTAGATAGACGTCGATGGTACATGCTCTACATGTATGTCTGACTAGGAACCACGTCCAGGCTGCCGACCGGACATTTTTGCGCTTGTATCCTCCAACCGGCTCGGAAGCCTACGGCGTACATCCAGCCACCCTGCAGGGTACATCCTGCACATTCCCCATGGATGGAGACGAGTTCAACGCACCTGTGTCACTTCTTCCCTCCGCGATTTGACTGACCCTCTCCCCTCCGTCCCGCGCGAATCCACCAACTTGTCCTCACCAATTAATCACCTCATCAGGAGTCTGTGGAACAGATCAACCCATCCGCTGGCAGGATGGTGAGTCTCCCAATGCGGGATACTGCATTGAGCTCTCCGACTGGCTTGGCAATCCTTTCATTGGGATAGACGCCAGCAGCATTCTATTGTCCACCAGTTTCCGCTCTGCATGGATTTTCCTAAGGTGGCAGCTGTCGGAAAAACCCAACCAACCAGCCCTACTAGCATGTTCGCGAACACCTAGCATGCCCCCACTCTTGCTACATGTACATGTTCGATCTTGGTACAGTTTAGCTGGCCCCATACTGAGAGCCACGATTGCAGGGTCACTAGTCCCTGCTGTAGTCTGTATTGACTTCAGCGCCTGGCTCCTCTGCCGGATTGGATCGGTTCAGTTCGCCACTTCACTGTTCTCACCAGTTCTTCTTTGATCATGCAACAATGTCAGGCAAGTGTTTATTCCCCTGGACCACAAGTTGGTGTAGAATCAGCGGAATTGCTTCGCAGGTAACACAAACCAGTCTCCTTCCTGCTATAGTTTCAGAATCATCATACTTGAGAAAGCCTGAGCACAATTCTAGCATGGTATATATGCAAGGTACTATGTATAGAAGTGAGTTCTCTGCTAGAAAATTGCAGGTAAGTCACTTCCAAGTGGCCCATGCAATAGACCGATTCTCAACCTCGAGGATCTGTCCTCATATTCGGTGTCTGCCAACCATACACATCAGGCACCATTGTCAAGCACATCTCAGCCTTTGGCTAGCACGTAATCCTAATCCTCAGGAAGCAAGCGACTACCACACTTTTCAGCTACTGCACATTCATTCTTCCCCGGCCGGCTTTTAGCGCAGTCTAGACTGGCTGAGCCCTTCAACAAGAGACTACAGTATGATCTAACTCATGGTCTAAGACATTTATAGTGCATCCTTAGACATCCCCCTTCTTCTGGCCTCAATAGGTCACCAGCGAGTAGCACCTTGGCATGAATGAGTCCTTCTGGACTCTGTTTTTCCGTCATCTTTGCCTCTTGCTCTTGAGTCTTGACTCTAGCGTGGGGCCAAGACCCCGGCCTGCCGGTGAGGTTCCCAATGCGTCCTAATTCCTTGGACTTGATGTCTCTTGCTTGTCGCTGCCTTACCCCTCTGGGATAGGGATGCACAGCACCCACTACTTCATAGGTACTGTACCTACCAGGGAGATGCAGTTATCGGTTCGCGCTAGGACAGAAAAGGCTAGGTGGAGTGGATGGTGCGCTAGAACTAGCTAAGTGCCCGAGCTCTTTCTTTTTCCTTTTCTTTTTTCTTTTTCTTTTTTTTTTTCTTTTTTTTTTTTTGTAAGTTCCGCTCGCTTTCAAAATTACCCCACTGTCAACCTCACTCACACCCATCCGACCTCCGCGGTAAAAACGCGAATGTCACGTAATCACGTAAATACTCTCGGAAACTCAGAAACCAGGGGAAAAGATACTCGATAAAACCGGCAGCCGTACCTGCCGTTGCCCTAACTTCTTACATTGGAAGGAATGAAGGAAGGGGGAGGAAGGGATGATGGTTGCATGTTGCAGGTTTATGTTTAGAATTCAACGAAGCAATATCCCAAGAACTCTTCTTCCCTTCAAGGGGTAGGTCCAATAGGAGCTTTACTGATGGGGGGATGGGAGAAACAATCACTTGTCCTGTCTTGTCTTTACCTTTTTTTTCTGGTGGTCTTGGGAGTACTAAGAGAAAAAAGGTTCAGTTCAGATGTTGCCTGAGTTTTCCAGCCGCTGTATGTATGGTACTGAGCTAAGCTAGATTTGGCTTAGTGATATTACAGCGCCGTATGCTGATAATCGTATCGATGCTGACAAATGACTTTCAGTTTTCTCATTGAGCTCGTAAATACGTCATTCACATTCATCATGATCTAGAAAATCCTCTTTGCTATACTATAGTATCGTATACCAGACCATATAAGTTCATTCCATTCATCCGAAAAGCGACACAGTCGAAACCTTGATGATTTGGTGAGGAAAAAAGCCGCCAAAACACGCAAAAAGCAGAATATATACTACCACCCCCGTTGGCCGCCAAAATATATGATAGAAGGAACTGTAAGAACTATAGCAAAGACTAGACCAGCCCTTTTTTTTACCAGACGCGCCACACTATCACAGATGCCTGTCAAAGGCAACTCTCATGATTTCGCCATCAGATCGACAAACTGCTCCCATTGGCTCCCGAAGCTGGCATAGTAATTCGTATCGAGATGGGTGATGAACACCTCATCCGCGACCTTGCGCACCTGCTTCACTAGGTTCCGGAAATGCGAGCCCTCCACGCTGGCAGGCACCGAATGCACGACGGCCGTGAGCTGCTGGCGCGTGCTGTTGGGGATCTCCTGGAAGAGTTTAGCCCCCTGGCGGTCCAGGAAGGTCTGGTAAGTCGCCTCGAAGACGACGGTCGAATCAGCGGTGCTCAGGTACCGGGAGTCAGGAATCACGCCGGGGTTGTGGACGACCTGGACAACAAGCGGCGAAAAACGAGTGATGTCAGCCACGAAGGGAACGGCGAAATGTCAATAGCGAACGATTGAAAGAAACAATACAGGTGGCTAGGCTAGTTGGGCTGGACTAGGCTCGAGCCGAGCTAGAAACTAGCCGAGTTTCTCTCTTTCCCGTTGATCTTTCTCAATGGAGAGAAACAACACTGAACAGCCCAAACGGCGATCCGATCCGGACCGGATGGAAATTCGGGTCATCGAGAAAAAACAAAGGGGGCGGAATTCAACAACGAGCTCTGGGGGAGAAAAAAAAACAATCAACCGGCAAACAGCAAAAAATTGACAGTGGAGCAAGGAAAATCATAAAAGGGGTGGAGCCGTCTCCAAGATACTGGGAACCGGAATTTTGGTAAGGAAAGTTATGTAAGTAACCATGTATGGGGAGGGACAATGCCCCCCGGGCCGGCATGGTAATGAAAATACGGGGAAAACGGAAAGAAACGTCTCACGTACATAATTATCCGGCCCAAGGCCAGGATGGCTCTTCACCACGGCCGTCAGCTCTTGAAGATATGCCAAGGTATTCGCATCGTATTGCTGAGGCGTTTCATCAAAGAATATGCCCCGAACCGCAAGCTTGGGGTTGGAACTGTTGGTCGGCCACGCCGCATAGGTCTCGATGTCGCGGCGCACCAACGAGATGTTGCGATTGGCGTACGTGGTAGCGACATAACCTAGTAGACGAACATTGTCATAGGAAGCGAGCTTAGGAACCTCTCGGGTATAGTTGGCGTCAGGCAAGGCATCGGGCCCAGGGCCGCTACCGGGGTTGACCACCACCGTGAAGTTGACGTCGGGATGTGTAGAGACCCTGTGGCGCTTAGCTGAGTCCGCTATACATTGAAGTTACCTGTATCATGCCACGGGGCGAACGAGCATGGACCAGGGAAAGCGTATGTATGGTTGGCCGGGGGGGAGGGGAGGGGGAGGGGGTCGATTTGGGATGGCGCTCAAAGAAGCATGAAGACCGGACAAAAACGTACACTTTCTCTAGCGGATCCCAGGCTCCGGGAGCAGGATACACATAGAGCGGAACAAAAACCGACGCTTTGGGACCCATGCTGTTCTTCTTGTGTAGAGTGACCACAACTGCTGGTGGAATGACGACGGCGAGGATGGCAATGATAACAAAGACGGCGAGGATAACTCGCGAGCGTGTACTGGCGAGACAGCGGCGGTCTCTCACGTGCTTTTCTTGCCCCATCATGATGAACGACGACGATAGACTAGTGGGTGATTATGATGGAACCAGGAGCAGAATAGCTGAAACCGTGCGCACCAACACTTGCGGGCGAGCCAAATTAGTACTGCACTTAGAAGTGGGTTTTGGCTAATGGGGATAGTAGAAGTGGGCTGGTGGGCTGCTCCATAATAGCGGAGTTGCGCCAGAACCGGGCCTTGAAGGACTAGAATTAAGTAGTAGTCTAGTCAGCCTTCTAAACGTAACCAAATAATCTGATGCTAAGTGAGAAAAAAGAGTAAAATGATTTGAGTGAGTGGGTGGTGAGTAAGGGAATTGTGGTAAAGGTAAAAAAAACACAGCAGGTAAAGCGCAAAAAGAGATGAATGGCGCGCGCGAGCCCAAAATAGAGCGGGGCAGGGTTTCGCCCATGCAGCAAAGCAGCAGCAAAGCAGCAGCAGAATAGCAGTAAGAACCAGCAGCAATAGCAACTGCTCCTGCGACTGCTGTTTCTGCTGCTGTTTCTGCTTTGCTGCTGGAACAATTTCTTTTTTCTTTTTCTGGTTTCGCCCCTACTTTTTCAATTCTCCATCCAATTTACTTACCTACTTACTGTACTTTCCCTTTCTTCCCCGTACTCTGGTACTCTCTTGTTTCGTATCGGTGGATATCCGATGATGTATGATGTACTCGAGATTGCTGATGCTCTTTCTCTTGCTCTTGCTCTGATTGTAGTTGCTGTTGCTGCTGCAAGTCTCTGTGGAGGCGTCTAGAGTTCGATCGAAGAGTCCAGTCCCAAGTCATCAACCATTATAATAAAAAAAAATATAATTAAAAATAACCATAAAAAAATAATCACCAAAGAGGCGAGATTCCAACCAACCTGAAGGCTAAGGCAAATCGAATCACTCACTCACGCAGTCACGCACTCTGTCAGTCAGTCAGTCTTTCGTCTAGGCCCGATTGTTCCATCCCAATAAGATCTCTCGCTGACATCGTCGACTCTTTATATTTACTTTTTTTTCTCTTCCACTCTTTCTCTCTTGTCTTCTGCTTCTTCCAGATCCTCTGGTACCATCGTTCGCTCCCACCGATTCCTATCCAATTTATTTTATTCCCTTTTTTTTTTCTTGTCCATCCTCTTTTCTTTTTTATAATTAATATTTCTCTTTGGCCATCCTCCTCTTACACCTCGTCTTTTGCTTCCTTTCTCTGATATCCATTCGCTTCGTATGGCCATGCTCCCTGGTTGTAAATAAGCAAAGTCACCGATCACGATATCATCGCCCAACCTAGCTGGCCAGATTCAGCAGCGGTTACATCGGAGAACCATAGCATAGGGCCGCCACTCGTTCTTCCAAAGGAGTATAAGACTTGGGAACTCCTGTCTTTGATCTCATCACGATTCTGTTCGGAGTCACCCGCCGTCATCGAACGAACCCTCGCTCGAATAAAAGTCTTTCGTTTCCTTGTCATTGTCTGACCAAAGCTTCCTGACCTGCTTCACCTTTGAAGTCGTACTTCCCATCTTCCCAAATCCCCGCCCTCCTTCATTGCCAATAATGGAGAGCCCTCGACAGTCCGATGCAAGCACTCCGGTGGAGCCCAACTCCCCGGGCTTCGTGGATACGCCAGCGACGCAGTCATCCGTCTTGTTTGATGGCAATCTCGAGGAGTTGCTGCGCAACTTCCCCCTCGATCAGTACATCCTCGTTACAGGGGGTCTCGGGTTCATCGGAAGTCACACAACATTGGAGCTACTCAAAGCCAATTATAATGTAATCGTGATCGACAATCTCAGCAACTCCTTCCAGAGCGTCTTCGACCGCATCAAGCTGCTGGCGTCCAAGCATCATGAGCAACAAGGAACATGCATGCCTTCCTTGCAGCTGCACGCTCATGATTTCCGGGATACTGTGGCTCTCCGAGAGCTTCTCGATCAGTACCAAACCCAATCCAGATGGGGTTCCCCCAAGTCCAAAATCGCCGGTGTCATCCATTTCGCTGCTTACAAAGCAGTTGAAGAAAGCATCAGGAACCCTCTGAAATACTATGCAAACAATGTCAGTGGCCTCATCGACTTTGCTACCACCTTGGGTGACTATGGCATCAAAACCTTTATCTTCTCATCCTCTGCCACCGTGTATGGTACCTTGGCCACCTCCGGCCTGCCGCTGAAAGAGGAACTTTGCGTTCACAAAGACGAGACCTTCACGGACCACAACGGATCCGAGCAACTTGTCCAGGCCGGCTGCACAGGCATCACCAACCCTTACGGCCGCACTAAATGGATCTGCGAGGCCATCTTAGCAGACCTCGCGGCCTCCGATCCAGAATGGACCATTGTCGCTCTCCGGTATTTCAACCCAATTGGATGCGATGAGTCAGGTCTCCTTGGCGAGGATCCCCGCCAAATACCCACCAATCTCCTGCCGGTGGTTGTCAAAGTCATGACCGGGCAATATGCGGAACTGCAAATGTTCGGCACAGACTGGGACACTGAGGACGGCACCGCCGTCCGCGACTTCATCCACGTTACCGATCTCGCCCGAGGGCACATCGCTGCCCTCAGTGCCGCCAATGGAGGCAAGTTGGCTGAGAATTTCCGCACCTTCAACCTCGGCACAGGACGCGGTCATTCTGTGATGGAGGTGGTGAACACCATGGAAAGCGTGTCTTCCAAGCCCATTCCCCGGAAAGCGGCTGGACGTCGTGCTGGTGATGTTGGTTCGTGCGTTGCAGTGGCCACTAGGTCACAGAACGAGCTCGAGTGGAAAACTGAGAAGACGCTGAAAGATGCGTGTGTGAGCTTGTGTAATTTCCTTGATGTCAGTGGCCTCTCTGCATAGGCCCGGATACCATTTTAATCACCCTGTTTCATCTATGTGGCGCTTGGTTTGGGTTTTGCCTTTCATGATTCTTTCGTTTATCGTCCTGTGACCGTCATAATTTTCCTTCGGTTACCGATTCTTCGTATATCCCCATGATTCCTGTTCGTGTGTTGGGACATAATTCGACAGCCTCAAGCAACTCGTGATATTTTTTTGCATGATAGAGACGAACGCATTCGCTATTTTCATCCCATCACATAGTACGCACCACTATACTTTACATCTGACTCTGTTGCAAGCAATTGAAGAGGGTCATTGAGTGCGATGCCTTCCACGTTCCTTTCATGTGTAGTGTTAGTAGATTGACAGATGTCACACTTTTGCCGTGGAGCTAGTCCCATGTGCGCTCGAGGACGCTGTAATCTGTTATCATGCTTTATGTGCTTGAGAAGAGTCTGAGATAGTCGACGAGACCAATGCCGTCACGGAATGAGTATGCTTGCTCCAGCCGTCGACAAGCATACATATCATATCATTGAACAGAGCAGGAGACCTTAGGCAATGATAGAGAGGGGGGATGAGGGGCAGGGAGAAAGCATGGGCGATCAAAAGAGCGGAAGGAGTGGACGTTCGGGTGAATGATTAGTCAGACTGCCTGCCAACACTTCATCTTTCGACGCAGATGCAGTCTCTGCAGGTCTTCTCTGCTCTTTATATGTTTAGGTTCGGCGCAGTCAAGCAAGGAAGGCATTCCGGGGAGGGTTATCATGTTCTTATCAGACCTTGGAGGCTAGATAGCACTGCTCACACGATCATCCTGGAGATGAACATCAGAGACTAGCGCTGACAGCGAGAATGTCTAGAACCAATGGAAGGCTTGACTGTCAGACAAGCCATATGTGAACTCCAGAGAGATTGCGCAGCCTGCCTTAGCTTTGCCCTGTTCTCTCCAGTAATGTGCTTCCTGCGGGAGCAGTTGCAGGCATCGACAAGGCGGCAAAGGTATAACGGCAGTCGACATGCATGGGATGTGAGTGATAATGCACGAGGCAACCAGGGACGGGATGGCATGATGCTCGGCTCCTGCAATGTTCGTTGACATTTCCTGTTAGTTGATACCGGCAGGGAAGTCGAGGATCCATCTGCGGACGGAAATTGTCCGCGCGGGAGCAGCGGTGACAGGGACAGTGGGACTGCTAGACGGTTGGAGCATGTCCCAGCTTTGCCGTTAGAACGCAGTAGTGCATCGACAGGTACTCAGAATTCATTGACATGGCCGTCGATTCTAGATGCCGCAGATTACCTGCCAGAAAAATGCGCGGGTGCCTTATCTGTCGAATGTCACTTCGGGTTCCAAGATAGCTCGAAGAAGCCGCATTCGTCGCACTTGGAAGAGTGTAGTAAGAATAATGCAATGCTTGACTATGGGAGCGTTCAGAAAGCGATGTGATTTCAAATAAGAGTAGAGGAATCATTAAAAAGATGTTGATGGCAAGCAAACACATATGAAAACGTGCCTTCGAAACCATGAGTATCTGCATTTAGAATCATGATACTCGAAAAGCGAGAGACATCTCGTAATTTTAACCAGAGTCAATGTTACCAAGCAGATAAGACGTCGTGAGTGACCTCAGAGGCATGATATGTGTTCTGGCAGGACTGTCACGTATCTGAACATGGTCGAGGTGAAGTATATTCGTCGGGCTGCCCGTATCGGTTTATCGCGAAGGTCAGATTCCCGACTTAGTCATCAAGCACATGATTTCTAAATACTGATGATTGAGCTATTGGTAGGTGCGCAGGACGCAGTTGAGACCTTCTTGCAGTCACGGGGATTAGACACAAAGCTTCTCTTGAGCTCCATAACGCCGAAGAATCTACCTTTCCAATAGACTCAGACTGTTTGAATCAAGGAATAGTTGGCAAGTTATTGAATACTGAGCGACACGGTCACGTGTCGGCTCACCTCCGGCTTGGCATCAAATTCATGCCGCAGTTTTCTCGATAAGTGCACTCTCACTGCGTGCCGGTCGGTAGGATTCCATTACACAGCATTTTGATTCAGCGTACACGGCTTGTCTTCGGGCTGAGGACGGCATATCACGACTCCGGTGACCGAGCTACTATCATCCATCCTTTCTGTCTTTAGTACAGCCGAAACCTGCCAGACTTCACACCTCAAAATGATCTGCCAACGATGCCGGACGGGCATCCTGTCTCGATTCCAGCAGCACACGGTTACGTCGCCTGCCCTGTCTGGCGCGCGCCAGCTCTCTCTCCCCATCCAGCGGGCTCAGCTCCGCAACTACAGTGACGGCAAGCCCACCGTGTCCGCCGCACCGCCGCCGCCCAAGCCCCGACAGCCTGGCGTGAGCGACGTGACCGTCGCGTCCGCCGTCTCCTCCGCCACCCCTGGAGTGTCGCAACCATTGAGCACCTCCACGGACGGCGTCCACAGTGATGTCCACCCCGGAAAGGCCCGCAAGGTCGTCGAGCGCCCCCCGAGCAGCTGCCTTGCTGGCACGAAACTGAACGGGCTCAACTACTTCAAGAACAAGCCTGATCTGCTCGCTCTGGAGGATTCGGAGTACCCCGATTGGCTGTGGGGCTTGCTGGATGAGGGCAAGAAGGGGAAGACCGAGCAGGGTGGCGTTGACCCAAGCAGTAAGGGACCCCTAGTAACCAGTGCTACGAAATTCGTCTCCAGCTTCGGTTCTTTTTGACTAACACCGTGCTTCTTTCTCCACAACCACAGCCCTGAACAAGAAGCAGCGCAAGCGCTACGAGAAGAAGATGGCCGCCCGCGCCGCGAACCTCCCTCCCGTGATCCCCATCCACGAACAGGCCAACGATATCACGCCCGCCGCCTACAACCGCGCTCAGGCAGAGGCCCAGGATACTCTGGTTGTCGCCGCCGAGAGTCTCGAGAAGCGGACCGAGATCACCCGGAGCGCGAGAGATGCTCGGAGAAAGGGCATCAGAGAGACCAACTTCCTCCGCGGGTTGTAGAAAATATATATTCTGTATCTTTGGCGAATCTGCGATTTTCTCGGTGGGAGGTTTTTCTTCACGTTGGCCGATACTGTCCCGACTTACGACCCACAATGTACAATGGTATTGGCAACCAGGGGAAGGGCTGGACGGCTGGGGAGGCGGGGGGTGACTGCGTGTGGAAGAGAGATAATTCTCCTTGTAACTCATATTCTCATTTCTTTTTATCATGTACTATTTCCCAAGAACCAGGCGCGAAATGGAATGCTTTCAACACTTTCACTTATTGTAGGCGCAGGCTTCACTTGGAGCGACTTCAAAACCCTCCACTGCACTCCTCCATGACTTTCCGAAAGCAAGCGCAACACTGTCAACGAGGAATCTCCCACTCCGACTCATCCTTCTCCTCGCCCTGGCCCTCCACCCACGGCAAACAAGCCTCCCACAGCGCCCTGACCTCCCCATCCCCCACCCCAAGCATCTCCGCCCAGACCGTCCGATCCCCGCGCTGGAACCACGCCAGAACCGCCACGACCAGAAAGTCCGCATACCCGGGGGTCTTCCCTTCAAAGAACGGGCCGCCACCGCCACCGTCCTGGCCGTCCTCCTTGTTCCCGCGCCGACCCCGCAGCATCATCACGATGACGGCCATGTCCCGCTTCATGGCGTCGAGCAATCGCGCCACCTCGCGGGCATCCCGGGGCCGGACCTCGGAGAGGGGCTTCCCGAACTGCGCCGAGCGCGTCTTGATGAAGTACTCGCGGCCCCGGGCGTCCAGGAAGTCCGCGACGCGGGGGACGACCAACGGGACGGCGTTGATCCAGACGGCGCCCATGAGCTTGCTGACGGCCAGCGCGAGCGCGTAGCTGGCGTCGCCGGAGGGGAAGATCGATGGAGCCGTGGGGAAGGCTTCCTCGAGGTGCGTGGCGATGGCGAGCGAGTCCATCAGCGTGCCCGAGGGGCTGGCGGAGAGGGAGGCCGGGTAGCAGATGGCGGGCAGTGTATAGGGTCGGCCTTCGGCTTGAGGGTGCACCCCTCTGTGGGAGAGGAAGGGGGCGATGTCCGGGTAGCTGAGGAAGGTCTGTGTGTAGGGCAGCTGCTTGTAGTTGAGGACCATGCGGGTTTTGATGGTGTTGGGGGACCAGGCCCGCGCCGACCCTGGTGGGTTTGTTAGCATGTGATGCTCGTTTTGTTTTGTTTTGCCTTGTTGTGATGTGGATGGATTGAAGATGGGCTCTTTGATACTCACCAGAGAGGGTCGACTTGATGTCGAAGAAGTGGATTGGGCTGGAAGTCGACATTGCTTTATTTTCGAGATACAGTACGTCTCCTAGTTTGCTATCAGTTGAAGTTTGTTCGAATATGCTATGACGCGGGGAGGCTTATGGTGGGGAAGTCATCTCTGATTTATCAGCTCCGCCGCCCCAAAGGGAACTAACTAGTAGACACCCTGCTTGCTTATCCGCTCTTCAACCGCGGTCATCTTCCTTGATTCGCACTTTGATGGAGTGAATCATAGTCCAGAATTCTATGTGTGCTTAGTGTGCTTGTGCTTAGGCTGTTGCTTGATTGGTATTAGACATGGGCCCTTGAAATTTTAGTTTCTATGAGATGCTATCTATCGTTCATCTATTTTTAAGTCATTAAGTCCAATGAGACTCCATAGAGTCTCCCCGAGAAAAGTTATGTGTGGGAGCTTCGTAAGGTATATGCCATGAAAGAGGGCTCAATGCGTAAATCGGAAGTCGAGGCTGCGGGGCTGTTAGAAAAGTATTCGTAATCGATGAGAAAAGTCCAGGGGTCTGACCGTTTGTTACCAAGATCCTTGTCGGCGACATCGGCCAGGTATGCCTCTCTCTCGGCACTGGACATAGCGTCCCATATGGCGGCTCTCTGTCTGCATTATAGTCTTAGCATGATAATCAGACAGTGACGTTGGGTGAGCTTACTTGTTACGCCAAATGTAGTAGAGCTTGGCCCCAATAAACACTAGTATACTCCATACGGCCATGGCAATCAGTACTTTGTTGCCAGTATGGTAGTATGGCTTGTCCTTCGCTTGATAGATCTGGGAAAAATTAGCTGACTTTCACCATAGGCTGAGTATTAAGGCGTAACTCACTTGACTGGCAATGATATTGGACGCTTGCACCATCATGTTGTACACAGCGCTAGCAACCGTTCGCGTCCGGACTGAGCCTGCATTTCTGGACGTCATGGCCACAATGATAGCATGAATATAAGGGGCGCCAATCAATAGAATGAGGATGGCCCATCGCCCCCATGCGCTGGCCCCGTCCGGAAGAGCAACTAGTGCAATGAGTAAAACCAAGCACCAGAATTCCATGACGAGGCCAAGCAATAAACGCTGATTAAAGCGCTCGGAAATCCAAGTCCAGAACAGAAGGTTGATGATGAAGATAACATAGGCAGGAATGGTGAGAAGGTTCGTCTGGAAGGTACCGAAGCCAAGTGATTTAAGCTCGAGGGTGATATAGTTTGTTGCAGGTGTGTTAGGAATCATCCATGTCAGACCGAGCAAATAGATCGGCCACATATCATAGTCGCATAGAGCAGTCCAAAGCATCTTGAGTGATACAGCCTGCCGATTGTGCATACTTCCCTTACTAGGGTCGTCACGCAGCACGCGGTTGACAAGAATCTTCTCTTCGCGCTCGTTGAACCAGCCGTCTTTACCCCGGAGGCCACCCTTTGTTTGCGTTGGTGATGCAGGCATCCAGAAGATAGCGATGATTCCGATGATTCCAGTGATTAGACCTTCAAATGCGAAGAGGTACCGCCAGCCACCTTTACCATCAGCATCGTGAATATGAAGGAAGCCAACCGCTAGGAAAGCGCTGACAATCGCAGTAGCTTCGTAAGAAACCCAGAAATAACTGAGTCTGACTGGTAGCTCTTTGGATTTGTAGAAAAAGGAAAGGAAGAGAATAGTGTCGGCAATGCTAATAAAAGTCAGCTAATAAGATCAACTTTGGAATTCGACTTTGTCTTACAATCCACCTTCTAGGAGTCCCAGAAGGGCCCGACAGACGAAATATCCGGTCTTATTCTTCAGGAAGGCCTGGCATGCAGCAACCAAGCTCCATGAAACCATCTGGAAGGGGATCCAGCGATCTGGCCCGACCTTCTTGGATAATAACTGCGAAGGCAGCTCGGCAAATAAGAATGTGAGAAGGAAGATGGTCTGCCCGTTGTTGTAGTCATTGGTATTCATCCCCAGATCCGCAAGCATGGTGTCGGAATTGGCCTGGACGACGTTGCCTCTGTCGAGTTGGAGCGCAAAGAATGTCACGCATGCAAAAGTGCAGATTCGCCAGTCAATCTGGTTTTTTATTAGCTCTGTACGCTAATTGAGAAGCGCTTTCTAGAAATACCTTCTTGATCAGGGCCTTCTCTTCCTCTTCCGTCCACTCAAAGTAGGGATCCCAACGATGTATGCCTTCATACTCCGGGATAGGCTTATAGTACCGGGGATCCTCTGAGGTGTCAAATGCGCCGCCCCCTTTGACACGCTGCACGGCAGCGATTTCGAGGGATGATGTGGACGAGCCTGATGCCACTGCCGTAACGGGGCTCTTTTTAGTGTCATCGCCCGCGGGGACTGTGTCCACGGGGATATCGTGAACATTATCTGAGCCCATCTTGCCAATGGAAAAAAGCTGATGACTTAGAGGCAAGATATGAAGGCCTTTGTTTGCGACAGTCGAGGAGATTTAAAGAACGAGCGCAGGCCGATATGAGCTTTTTGATATGCTTCATCCCAAGCAGGCGAGCTTGAAGCTTCATCACGCAATCTCTCGGCAATATAGGCAGATAGGCTAACTGCGAGATGATGTTCTGTGGAAGGCTTGACGTAGCCAATCATGGCTTGAACATAATGATCCAAGAAAAATTCCAGGCATCTCGAGCGATAAGCTCTGGAGTAAAACAGCGCGTGGTAGGGTGGCTCTTGCGTCGAGACCAACATTAAGCGCAGCCATGGCGGCGAGGTCAGGCCGTCAGGTTGTGGGAGATGATACAACTTTCGATGCCTTGCAGTCTCATGGGGGGTGTCCTAAGTGCGATCACGCAAACGAAGCATAAGTGACGTTATGGGGAACAAGTCAGAGGAAGAAGAGAGTCCGGTAGTTGTTAGTGTGAAGTAGTCGTGGAGTAGTACCAAGTAGGATTCAAGTCTAGTTCGATCTCCGCTGCGGGAAACGGCCGAAGACGCGGCGGGGCATTAATGGGCCGGGATCGCTCAGGCGGTGGCTCACTGGCTACGCTTTACCGAGTCGGTACTTCCACGCCTCTTGCCTTACCATCCCACGATTTCACCATCGCACTGGTCGATGGTGATACGTTTCGTCAGCAATATGGCAACATTCCCTTCAATGCTGATTGGGAGCGAGTATACATAGTACAAGTATACTGCAAAGTTCTTCGCGCACTAATCAAGACCAATGCAGATTCTGGAGTGAACTGCATTGATGCACCCCAGCAAGATGTGCTTGCCTCGATACCCTCTCTCATCTACAATTGCACCGCGAACAATGCATTGACCATTGACCAAACAAAACGAAATGCTTGAAATTCAATTCCTCTCATAAGATGAGGACGATCTCTATACTGAATGCGGGTCAGGTGGGGAAGTGAGCTTGTTTGAGCTTTGGAGGGGGAAAGTTGCGCCAGGGACCATGGCTATCACGCCATGCTGCACTAAACCACGTTTGCCTCAACCAACGTCAACCCTGTGGAACACAGTCTCATCCTCCGGCACTGTTCAAGGTTAACCAAGTTCTGCCATTGTGTATGGGGTACTGGGTACATTGAACAGGTACAAACTCTGGCGAGGGTTAACTTACTAATTATACGACAGGAAGACCGACAATAGGCCATGACTCCGCCTCTCACATTATCTGATCAACGTCCGCCATTCCTCCTCGAGACGAGCACCGATGCCTATATGTCGTTATCGTCGAAACCTTGTACCTAACCTTGTACTTCGTACCCCCTTTGCGAACCAGCAATTGCCGGAAGTCACTCGGCCATGCATACCCCGCAGGAATTGCGTGACGGCGCATCGAGTCTTCGTAAGAATGATGGTGATTATATATGCCAGAGCGTACGGTACTCTTTCCAAAATCAATGTCCCTTTCGAGAAGGAAGAAACTCAACCTAGAATTCTCCATTCTAAACCAATATCATGGCACCATCTATTACTGAGACCCCGACCCTTTCTCTCCGGGCAAAGCCGGTGTCCCACCTGAAGACCGATTCGGGCTTCAACAAAGAGAACTCGATCGGATATGCAGAGGTCTATAAGCATGACGACGAAGTTCAGGGGACAGAGAAGCAGCCGCCCGCATCATTTCCAAACTACCTCCCTGTCTGGGACAACGAGACAGAAAGGTTCGGCATCAGCCCTGATCTCGTGGCCGCCTTTTGACCCCCGCTGACCTTCATAGATACCCTCCTCTGCAACCATTTGAGCACTACGACCACGGCAAGGATGCAGACCTCTCCTTTGCTGATCTCTTGCCCAAGGACAAAGCTCAAGTGGATGACCTCACTCCCACCATTGGCAGTGAAGTCCGTGGTGTCCAGCTGAGCCAGCTGACCAAGGAAGGCAAGGATCAACTGGCTCGATTCGTCGCCCAAAGAAAGGTTGTCGGTGAGTTGTGACTATTGGTCATCGCCGTTTTGCGAGGCCCTGTGCTGATGTCGAGCCTCATTAAGCCTTCCGTGACCAGGACTTTGCGCATCTGCCTATCGACAAGGCCCTCGAATGGGGTGGCTACTTTGGCCGACACCACATCCATCAGACATCTGGAGCCCCCAAGGGCTATCCGGAGATCCATCTCGTTCACCGCGGAGCTGATGACACAAGTGGTGCCGACTTTCTGGCCACACACACCAACTCTATCACTTGGCACTCCGATGTAACGTTCGAGAAACAGCCCCCAGGCACCACCTTCCTGTATCTCCTGGACGGGCCGTCAACTGGAGGAGACACTTTGTTCGCGGATATGGCACAGGCATACCGACGCCTCTCGCCCGAATTCCGAAAGAGGCTGCACGGGTTGAAGGCGGTTCACTCTGGTATTGAGCAGGTCAACAACAGCCTCAACAAGGGCGGTATTGCACGACGAGACCCGATCACATCTGAGCATCCCATCGTCCGGACTCATCCAGTAAGTTGATTCTCGGGAAGGATGAGATCTGTGGATGTATTTGTTCTAACATGCTGTCTAGGTTACTGGAGAGAAAGCGCTGTTCGTCAACCCACAGTGTAAGTTTTGGAATACCATGCGTATCACAGGGAGAAACGAGAGGCTAACCAAGCTTCAGTCACTCGCTACATTGTCGGATACAAGAAGGAGGAGTCGGAGTTCCTGCTGAAGTTCCTCTACGACCACATTGCGCTGTCTGCAGATATCCAGACACGGGTCCGCTGGCGTCCTGGCACTGTAGTTGTTTGGGATGTAAGTGCTTCCGAACCACTGTATAACCGAATACAAAATCAACAAGACTGACTACCACAGAACCGGGTGGCCGCGCATAGCGCACTGTTCGACTGGGCGGATGGTCAGAGACGACACCTCGCTAGAATCACGCCACAGGCTGAGGCTCCTTATGAGACTCCTTTCGAAGGATAGATGATGTCGGACAATGAACAGCGATACATATGGCTACGAGGCAAGGCTACCAGTTTCTCGAGAGATATAGTTAGCGGCATCATGAACAAACAGGACGAATATGACTTCTTATGAAAGACACATTTTACAATATCAACTGCCCATCTAATTTCATACAACAGTGCTTACACAGCAGTTCCAGCGGTGGGTTCATACTGAGATTAGCTGTACCCTCATCATGACACAATGGGATATAAGGCATTGATAACTTCAGCATCATCTGATCCGGTAGGACCAGCATTGTGTCGAACTTTATGACCTCGCGTAGGCCACACAACATCATTATTGAAATCAACGCCCTGAGTCACCCACACTCCAGTCAGAACATCGACTACTCTCTCTGTCATTACCTTCTTCGACCTCTCACCACCACCATCTTTCCCACCAGTATCACTACCACAACCATCATTACCATCTAAATTATATCCAGCAAACCCAACCATCACCACCAAGATGTCCAGCCAGCCTCCCCGCGCACCGAGACATTACCCTCAGGGCCAGCACCTAAGCCGTCACGCCCCAACCCACCCCCAAAAGAACGACGAAGACACCCCCATCGACCAACTCCGCGCCGAGCTAGGCGCCCACAACCTGCAGTTCGGCATCTTCAAGCAGCAGCTCACGAGCCAGCTCACCGCCCTGTTGCAGAGCAACAACGCTCTGATCCAGACGCACCAGACCCTGCAGCAGGAGAACACGCTTCTGCGCGACGAGGTCGCCCGCCTCGGCCGCGAGGCCGCCCACCAGCGCGCGGAGCTGGCCACTCTGCGGTCCGCGGTGCACGCGGCCGCCGGCGAGCGCCAGGAGGATCTCCTCCGCGCTGACAACATCATGCAGGGCATGTGGGGCCAAATCCAGAATCTTTGGACGGAGTTGCGTGCGGTCGATGAGAAGGCCCGCAGCGAGCTTTTTGGGTGGTTGAGTGAGTTGGATACTAATTAAATTACCTTGTGGGGGGAGGGGGATGAGGGGGGGTGGTGTAAGGGAGGGGAAGTTCTATCATGGAGATATACGATATACTGCATTGCGGAGGGGTTGGTGAGATGGAGTTTGGGGGTAAATCGTTTTGGGTCTGAGTTTTCTTGGGTAGGGAGATGTGTGTTTTTTGAGGGAGTGTTTTGGAGCTCGGATTACGGTGTACGGTGTATCACTTTGCTTCTTAGGGTTGTGATGATGTTGATTTAGGGGTTATTGCATTGGAATGCAACTTGCTGGTCTCGAGTCTGGTGTATTTTTGTAAATTGGTACTTTCGCTTGTAGGAGGGAGTGACGTCCTCCTCGACTATAGCATTCTTAACTTCCCTCTCGCCTTCCTGTATATGTGTAGCAAGATGCTCATCCACCGAGCATACCACTCCCTTAAATAGAGCCCATAGTATCTGTAGTATCTGAGGCGAGGCGCCTCTCTCCTATCTACAAAAGATCTACTGGGTGTTATGCGCAGTAACAATCCGATTTCCTCTCTCTCTCCCCCACCCATAATCCCAAGTCGGCCATTGCGTCGAACACTAGATCGAAACTCATGAAGCTTGTTCTCCCCATTCTCCGTGTAAGAATAGATGAGGTTATGGCCAGCTGATACGTAAACCCCGGGTTTCGTCTGACACGAACCCTGCCCCATCACAAACCCATCAGTGCGACTTCAAGTTCTGCCCTGTGGCGGGCTGTGTGATCTATGTCATGACTACGTATGTCGACTCACGCAGATCCGAGCTACTATGCAATTCTTATGTAGGGGCCGGTATATCGGTATGCGACGTTCTGGTACCGTTATATAAGTGAAAAGAGAGCGATGAGAACATATACTCTGCCGCATCAGAACCAAGTCCCCAACTCCCGCTGTGAAGATGAAGCAGATAGGACGGGCCCTTTTGCAAAACAGCAATAAGAATATATTTTACTTGGAGTCAGCCAAGAATGTGATAATAAGGTTGGCAATTTGTAGTGACGCTGTGTTGTAGGAAGTAGTAGAGAAGCATCAAACGAAGTTACTCATGATTATCTGTAAAGTTTGAATATGGTGTCAAAGTTAGATGATATACCTTCAACAGCTGGTCTCGTGGCGCAATGGTAGCGCATTAGTTTCCGGTACTAGAGGTTGTGCGTTCGAGTCGCACCGGGATCGTTTTTTACCCATCGCGAGACCGTCTCTTTCTCGATCAGAGCAAACCAAACCAACCACCTTTATCTGTTTGCTGTCGCTATTTCTTTTGTGGCATACGCCGACAAGGCCCGAACACACCGAGGCACGAAGCACATGACGTCAGGCCGTCTGAAACCCAGTCAGGGCCCATGGTTCATATCAGACAAGGCTTATCGATCTATCTTCGGCCCCAACCGGCACACTCGTCCACCACACCAGTGTCGCACCTCTGCTTCATCTTCAGCGGTCCAGCCCGTAATCCCACTGAGCCAGATGACAGGCAAGCCAAACCAACATTAAGATACCGTTTGAGGTGGTCCGAGGCCAGGACATAGCCCAGACCTAAATCCGTGTATCGGTGATCAATCCCTAAGGACTTGCTCAACTCGGCGGAGGGGGCTCTGCAGCCCCCACCGTGAGACCATTTTGCTTAGGTGATCTCGACACAGCGGGTGCTCGCCAGAAGGGGAATCGGAACGTCAGAGTACCGTAAGACTCAGAAACATACATGGAACTGACCGGGGAGCCTCCAGCTCAGACCTGGACATAGATAAGAGATAACAGGAGCTGGAAATCTGTTAAAGTCTATCAAACTGGAAGGATGGGGGCGCAATAAAAGCAGCCTGGCCCAATTCAGAACTCCCGCACGCCCGTCTAGGAGAAAGAGTAGAAGGAAACAGTAGGGTCTTATAGGACCACACGCACATAGACTCGTATATACAGGAAGTAGTAAAGGTTTGTTGGCCCTGGAGTCTCGACAATCCAGAGAGGAAGATATAGAAACAGAGATTGAGGAAATGAGAAGCGTCGCAAAAGTGTACAGGATGAAAAGAAATAAGAGATCGACCAAGGTCGAGAGAAGAACTTCGTGGCAGGAATAGATGCACGATCACCAGGAGCTCAAACAACAAGAACAGCTCACGCACAACCTTGGCCAGCAAAGCAGGAGCGAGGCTGGTCCGTTTTGTCCCGAGGACACCGTGCCGATCGGGGAGGCGAGACGCAAGGATCCTTGCATATGGAACCGAGGGAGATGGTGACTTTTCCGACCAGAGCGTGTAAGTAAACCTTCGTTTTCGTCATCGAGCAGAGGGGTACTCTGTTTCAGGTGATTGATGACCGTGGCTATGATACCGGTTTGTAGCCAGATTTGCTTCTCCATTCAGTCTGTTTCCAGTTTTGTTGGAAAGAGTCCATCTCTGTCCGCTCCGTGTTCCACTTGGCGTCGTCCAACGCGTGTTCAAGACGACCCTTCTTGCGCTGGCGCACGAAGAACAGGATGAATGCGGCGAGGAGCATGGCTCCGACCGCCGCAGAGCCAGCGTACACACCGATCTTGGCACCGGTGGGCAATTCGGCCCATTTCTGAGCCAGAGTCTTCTCCGGTTCCTTGTTCAATTCCACGGCAGCCGTCGAATTACCCCTGGAGGCTTAGAGTTAGTAGTGCGTCATTGAATATCTCAATGGCGAGGAGGACTTACGTTACGACCTTGATGCTCTCCCACGAGCCCGTATGGTTGGTATATTCGTACTCTTTGCCGGTGTGGAAGTCCTGCACGCGCACTTTCTGGACGACCATGTTGTACGGACCAGCATCATAGTCGATCTCTCCTCCTGCCCACTCGATTGTTCCGAGGGGCTCGCTCGGGTCGCCACCGGGCCAGATACCATAGCGGAGTGTGCAGGGGGTTTGCGGATAGTTCTTGCCGTCCAAGGCATCCTCGTACTTTAGCGTGCGCACCAATGTGCCGTCAATCCACCACTCCAGTTTCGCGGCATCCCAGTAGGTAGTGTAGTTGTGGAACTCGGTGTCGGCGTTGGGAACATAATGGAAGCCTCCGCGGTCAAATGACGTATCGTTACCCTTGCCAAAGTAGTTGGACTGGACTGAGCTGGTGTTGTAGCCTACCCACTCCCAGTCGATCTCGTCCAGGTCATCGGACTCCAACACGATACTGCTAATCACACCGCCACCTTTGGCCATCTTGACCCAGGACTCAACGACACCGAAGAAAATGTAAAAGGTCGACTTGATAGTGGGGGAGTCCAGCTTCTTGGCGATGGTGAAATTCGCGCCGGCGTCGGTGATGGCGATATGACCGTTGGTGGTCTCCCAGATCTTGGAATCAAGCGTCTCGTTGAATTGCCACGAGAAAGTCGTGCCCAAGGCGGGATCCGACGGGCATGTGGCATTGAGGGGGTTGCATGTGGTTGAGGTCTGAGCAGCCACTAAGTAAAGCTGGGCCACGATCAGAGCCAGGAGGTTAAAGAAAGACATATTGGACGGATACGTCCTTTAGGATCACCACGCTTCAGATACTGAGAAGTATGTTCCCCTCGTTTTGTCAATGATAGTATTCAAGGGCGCAGAGGCGAGTCAGGCCAACTGCGGGTCACACACGCTTGCTTCCTGGCAAGATAAGGTGCGATAAAGGGGCGTTTCCTGGCAGTGCACCCGGGGGTGAGTGTTTGAGATCGATTCTCTCTAACGGTCCGTAAGGAGTGTGACCGAAAGCGTGGGGAAGAGGAAGAGAGAGGAAGAGTCAAGTCTCAAAAGAATGGCAGTGCGATCGAGTCGCACGAGGAGATTGAAAACCACCCACAAGAAGGGATGAGAGAGGAAAGAGGGATGGAACTGATGCGGAGGAAGAACGGACGGAGGGGAGGGGAAGAGAAAGAGACATTTAATTTACTAGATACTCGCTGACCCCAACCACAATGACTAGTTTTTTTTTAACCCTTCTCTTTTTTTTTCTCTCTCTCTCCTCCTCTCTTTTCTTGTCCGATCATAATAGTTAGAATTATGAGTTATTCTTTTTTTAAACCCGAAATGGAGACACGGACAAGGCGCATGTCTCTCATCACAGCTGCGAGTCTGCAGTCGATGTCACTAGTTTTTGGCCCTAATCATTTCAGGGGCTGCTCCAAACAGGAAACCACCCGACTCATGAAGGGAGACTAGTCCTGAAACAGTCTGGTATGCCACAAATCTACCCTGGTTCGGCTGGCTAGCGTGGTCCCTGGCCCTGGATTTAGTCCTAATGGGGCTTAGTGCCATCCCCACGACCACTGAAGGGCTCGGATTGTTCCCTGGACCAACATGATTGGGTCGAGTAAGGCCGAAGATAGATCCGTACACCAATCAGGGTTCTGCTTCAGGGGAACAAGGGGTTCACTGTCAAACACAAGCAGCAACTCCGGGATGAGTCCACAGTGTGAGCACTGAGAACTGCTGGCTGGGAAAGGAAAGAGTTCAACTGATTGAAATGATAAGCGCACCGGTACAGCAGCTGCAAAGGAGTTAATTGAGGGATCATCAACCAGGAATGATACTTATGTACCCATGATGAAGCAATGAGTGCTCCTTACTACCTAGAAAGAGCTAATGGCACCGCCACTGTACCTGCAGCCACTGCCGAGCTCCCTCTGCAATTGCCCATCGAATGACCTTGCGTCCCACCCACCCACCCACTTTGAGGCACATATACTCCACGGTTCCCGAGGGACAATCAACCAAACAAGCACAGCTAAAGGCATGGAATTTCACTCTCCCTGGAAGGATCCATTCTTGGCCTCAGCACAGCACAAGAGGGTCGGTGCCGTGGCAGTTGATTTGGATTTGCTGATTTGCCGGTGGCAAGTCATGTAGAGTAGTAGGTTTGTGGCGAATCGAACTCAGTGCTTCTACGTACGTACCAGTAGATATCGGGATTGTAACGCCGTGAGGGGTGAGAAAAGGGGGGAGCAACAAGGGTAGAATTGTCAACGGTGTTTGAAATTGTTTTTGCATCCGCACAAACATTTGATTCCCCCACCCCCCTTCAACTCTCCGCAGCCAACGGTTTGCGCGAGTCTCCCAGAGCCAAGGCAAGGGAACACAACTGCAGATAAATTCGAAACATGGAGATGTCGTGTAGCCGGAATCGTGCCAATCCATGCCTAGTACTCTGTATAAAAGTGTTTAAGTTGTTGCGATGGACAATCATTGACAGGTTAATCTATTAATGTCACTGCCTACGGATGAGTACCGTATATTGGATGCGACTTCGACACGAACATGCTCGGCGCTGGACCGTCTAATTTCCAGTGCCGATTCACCCTACTTTCGCCCAGATAGGCAGACAGGCAGATAGGCGTTGCATAAAGACCAAGAAGGATATAAATGGAAAGGATGGAACCGTTCCCACTTGAGAGAATCAAGAACACCACAACTTTGCAGATCAATTGACCATGCTCATGCTCATGAATCTTATAAGTAGGCGTCGGACAGTTTATCAATTCGATTCATTCAGGGTATTATTATAGCATAAACGTTATAACCATGTACATACATCGTGGTTCGAACCCCGAGAACCACATTAAACGTCCCCCTCCCCCAGCTTCCCCTACTTCCTTCCTTCCATTCCTCATCCACTTTTCATCAATTAAGATAGACTTTCGCTGGCCTCCTGACCGAGCTCCTCGGCTTCTCCACATAGTAGTATGACGGGCTCCGTCGATGTCGGTGGCGATGGCGCGCTCGGTTGGTAGGCAGATTGGTCTCCCCATAGTCGGGCTCGCTTTCCATCTCATGATTCATGGCACAGAGCTTCCAGAGCCAAAGGAGCAGCAGGGTGCCTGCCATCGTACCGAGGACGATACCCGCGATGCCACCCCCGGAGATGGAATTGGGGCAATTGGAGTCATTCCGATTCTGGAGAAGGTGGATTGGTGCCTGAGGAAGGAGGAAAAGTCAGATGTCATTTTTCTGCTGGTCATGTTCGTTCACGGAAGACTGGACTCGGCCCGCCCGCGCGAGAAGATCCACGGAACAGCAGGGTTCGACCTACCATGGGTGTGTGGTGGTTGGTGTCAATGTACTGTACTGGCTGTACCGTGCACAATTGATATCGAGGTCAATTGCTTTATGGTCCCCTCAACACAAGCACAACCTCCAGGAACGAAAGAAAATTAACTAACAGGGAAATTCAGGAGGGGAAGGCTTGGAACCATATATCATCATCGTCAACATCATCATCATCATCTTCTTCTTCTTCTTCTTCTTCTTCTTTTTCTCTTCATCTTGTCCATACGTTCCCGCAGCGGCTGGGCTGGTGTTCCCATTGACGTCAACCGTACGTCTTTGGCTTTGGATACCCTCTCACACAAACTTCCGTTAACCCCCTCCCCCCGCCTCTCACAAACCTCAGCTTGGCTTTCTGATCTTGATGAGCGGATGGCTTATCCTTCCGATCGCCTGCCAATAGGATCAATTGTAAGCATTGCGCACTGCGAAGTGTCTTGCGCGCATGGATGAGTTTACTTTTCACGTGTCGGGTGTGGTGGGGATACCGCGGGATACCGCGGGATACCTCGCTGCGCGTTATTGGTCCAACTACCGACTACTTCGTAGGAAACTCCTATGTAATGTGTTGGGCCTTGTTTTTGGGGACTGACCTGCATGAAATCGCGCAGACGGGGGGCTTGAATCTCGTCTTTTCTTTTGTGGTTTCCCCGCATCTGTGAAAAAAGTGGACTTCAAGACGGCGTTGTCGAGATGCTAGACTACAATGTGTGTGTGTGTGTGTGTGTGTGTGTGTGTGTGTGTGTGTGTGTGTGTGTGTGTGCGCGCGCGTGTGTGTGTGCTACGCTCTCGATGTATGCGTAGCACAGTATCAGTTCTAGATCAGATCGATTGTCTATCTCGAGTTCAAACTCATTAAAGCAATTGGAGGCTAGTGGTTTACTATCATTTCGGGAATCTATCCTGAACCCCACTTAGCACCAAAAACACTTTACCTGGCGCGCCATCAACCACTAGCCAATGCTTGTGGTTGATGTCTTTTCTTTTCTATGGTGCACGAAATGACATATCCCTCATGGCTCGGGTGCGCTCCAAAAATAGTACCAACACAGACACCTGATATGTGGCTTGTGTAGCCGATGCAGAGGAAACTTTCTCACTCACAATCTCCTATGTCCCGGGGAAGGGGGCACACTGCCGGTCTCCCAAGCCGTCATGTTGGGCCCCAGCTCGAACTCGATCGTGCCCCCCCGCGCCATAAGATCCTCGTGCTCGAACCAATTCTTCGTCCAGGCCTGTCCGTTGATTTTCACGCTTTGCACATAATAGCCCTGGTCCAGGCCTTTCGCGAGAATCCGAAGCGTCTGGTTGCCGTTGACGGTCATGTTGAGATCCGGGAACCAGGGCGAGGCAATCAGATACACTGGCTGGGTGACCACCGGGTAGATCCCCAGCATCTGCCACAAAAGCCATGAATTCATGGCCCCTGCATCGCTGTTGCCGGGGACTCCGTAGAGGGCATCGTTGAAACTACATGAACGGTTAATCATACTCCTTTGTAATATCTCCGTCCGTGTCACTCACTATTGGTATCCGAGGCCCCTCGATCTTTGGACGCTTTTTGCTTGCTTGTTGATGTAATTGTACAGGTAAGGCGTGGCGAAGTCCGGCTCGTTACTTAACCACGGTCATTAGTCTTAGTTTTGTCGTTGGTCTAAACGGGAATGCGTACCCTATGTTGATAATTGTCGTGATCCCAGCTCCGTTCGATCCGAGGCTTTGCACGGACATATTTGGCGCAAACTGCTGAGTTAGACAGGGTCCTCGGGGCGGCGGGGGAATCTTACCATGAGATCAAGTCGAGATTCGAATGTGTCCACGCCTCCCATGAAATGAACCAGAGTCTCCATGTCATGGGGAATGACGAAAGAGTATTCTAGACATTAGGTGCGTGAGTAGACATTCTATTATACCATGGATGTCACTCACCCCAGGGCACGGCTTCATATGTATAGTCCAGCCACTCACACTTGTCGCAGTACCGCGGATCATATGTGCTACTGTTGAACGTGCCGTTGGAGAACCTAGGTGCCAGAAATCCTGTGAAGTTCAGACTAGAGACATCCGGGTTCCATATATTCTGCCATCCAGCGGACCGATTCAAATACTTTTCCTGGTCACTGGGCATCTCTCCCGAGGCGACTTGGCTCAGCGCAAAATCATTTAGGCTGTACTCAACGGTCCTGGATATACATCTTGTGTTACGATCTTGTGAGACGTAGCCAAGCTCGAGCCAATCACCCAGGGCGCCGCGCCCCTCTTTGGTGCTGGCCGAGGGGTCTGTGGGGTCCCATGTGTTGTATGGAATCACCTCCGCATCGGTCTTCATGGCGGCATAGCCGTCAGTCCAGTTGATCGCCCCGCGAAGACCCTTGATGTATGCATCTGCCAACACATTATCGGCATTGGAGCCGCCTTGGACTAATCCATTCCAGTTTCCTGAGCGTCCATCTGGTAGGAAACCTTGATGCCTTCAGGAGGGAGAAAATATTAGAGCCACTCTTCCTTGGCCATTCCGTGCTGCTCATATCTAGGGATCATACCTCCATATATCGATCAGACCTCGAATCATGGACTCGTAGTAGTCAGGTTGGTATATATGGTAAAAACTAATCGTGCAGCGAAAAATATCCCCTGATTGTATACATTAGTAATAGATATCGGAAGAATGTTCCTCATACTGACACATTGTATAAAAGTCGTCCCAAAATGGCTCATTCGACTGCCAGAGAGGATTCTCCCCGGTCCGATCGGACGGCATCAGGTGCATAAAGTAGAGTGAACTGTAGAGCAGCCGCACATGCGTCATGTTCGCTGTTTCATCCAATGCAACCAGAGTCTTGCTGAACACATCTCGGTTCCATTCTTCCACAGTTGATTGCACCGTGTCATTCAAGTCCCAGGATGGAATCTCTGTTTCAATATAGGCACGGGCCTTTTCTTCAGAAATGAAGGATACACCAACCCTGGAAATAATTTGAGCGCCGGATGTCGTGTTCCAACTGAAGAGCGCCCCGATGCGATCATTCATGGGTCCTGATGTGGCTTTCTTGTTAGTCAAGTTACCGTATACAGGCTGACTGATGCCACCGTTGGCGAAGCTCTGATAACGCGCCATCGGCTCGGTGTTCTTCCCTGAGAAGGTGCAAGCTGTCTCTGGGGCTATAGAAAATTCTCCGTAGAAGTAAACCGTAAACGGCGCACCTGGCTCCCGATCAGACTCTCTGCAGAGAGAGTACTGTTGCAGGCTGGCACTCACCGTTGTTCCAGCCACCGATATACGTCCCATAGCCAGAGTAAGCTCGTCCTTCAGCCTCCAATTGGATTTCGCCTGCAACGTAGAATTGGCCATTGGGGTCATTGGGTGACCCAGGAAGATACTTAGGCAAATGTTAGCGATGCAGAAGTTTGAAGCTATATGTAACCTAGGTGTCATACATGGGAAAGATCGACCAGTACATGCTTCTCGCCCTCAGGGAAGCTATACTGGATGATTCCAGCATGACGAGAGGCCGAGAGCTCGACCTGAACGCCGTTCTGCAATCTTGTTGCAAAGTAGCCCACGCTGGCTGTATCATTGCCAACCTGAATTGCTTATGAGTCCATACCGTTGAGTTTGTTCTCTTTCAAGCAGCTTACTCTAGGCTGGGCGTAGGTCAAATTGTTGAGCAGATTCACCGGAGGCGCAATATTTGTGAGCGGCATCTGGGGAATGATTCCATATTTCGGTGCGCCTCCAGTACCACTCTCATGCATCATGGCTAGGTAAGTAGGGAAATGCTAGTCAACGATTGAGAGTATTCATTGAGTGGTCATGTCCACCTACTGATCGCCGTGACATTTCCATCTGGTGTCCACCCCCCGTTGAGGACCGCCAGGCTCCAGTTTGCAGCCGTAGTATCGATACCTACCTTTGCGACGCCGAAAGGCCGCGCTCCTCCCACGAAGATATCGCCTCCTCCATAGCCTTTGCCTGGATAGGGTCCTTCCGAACCCATCAGGGCATTCACATATTGGGAATAATCTTTCTGAATAGCAGCAATCGCCGGTATCAGGACAAATAGCAAAGCGATCAAGTGATGGCAGATGGGAAAGCAAAGTGATTGCATACTGAGTATACTGAGCAGCTTCCAGAGGATTCTGGAGAAAAAGAACATGGGGCAGGAAAGAGGGGAAATTCACTGGGGTAAATGCAGAGCTGCTTTCCAGATTTATCCCCCGCCGGGGAGGGGAATGCAGACGATCTACGTGGAAACACCTGCATTTCATCCCTGACGTGCTGCAGCAACTGGCCACTGAGATCAAGATGATGCTTGCTTGCTTGCTTTAGACCGGCACAGTCGGACTGAAGAGCGAAAGTGGTTGTGTTTTCTCTTCTTCCCCGCACTTCGATTAGTGAAGCGTGGTATCAATATTTGACATACACACATACAGTACACACTAAGCTTAACAGACTTAATCAACCTCTGCTCTTTTTCCCAGTATCGGTAATTATACTTAGGCATTTGAAAGGTCTTGTAGTGAGTTGCACTGCTGCTTATGAAATTCATCTTCCTCCTCGAAGGACTTCACCCATTCTGAGGTAAATGACGGTGTTGCTTGCTTGCATATGCTCGACCAGAAAGCATGCTCTCTCAGCCTAAGCCCCACAAGCTGAATCCGAGAAGTGAAGTTTTATACTTTGCCCAGTGTACTTAATGCTTAATTGGCCTATGGTTATTTGGTTAGTTTAGGCGGATGACTAAGCAAAACAAGGCTGCTGCCTTCCCAACCGGGATCTAATCCGATCTTGTCTCCCTTTCGCAAAATGGTCTTCATGATCTTCTATCATCTTATCGATGACTATGTAGAACTCTTTTCCCTCCAGTAGCACTGACACCATGTTCCAGTGCTCTCATTGCGATAAGACCTACCAAAGAAAGAGCCACCTGCTTCGGCACGAGGCGACGCGTACGCACTCCTCTCCCGCCTGGAGAGCCGGGGAACACCGAAGCATGGAGGCTGACAAGCCCAGATACTACTGAATCGCTCTCTTCAATATGTCCCATTTGCAATAAGGCCTTTCAGAAGCAGTGAGCTCTCATTCCTGCCGAGCCCCTTCCCCGTCGATGGGTTATGTCTGACGGGATTTAGGGAGGTTGCGCGACGACATAGTAAGATATGTGCAAGGAAGTACAACAAGCCCCCACCGCCAGCGTCTAAGCCTGGCCGGAAGAAACGCTCCTGTGATGAGTGTACCTATTCCAAAACAGCCTGCGACAAGAACTCACCATGTTCTCGTTGTAAAGCCCTGGGTCGGCAGTGTTCTTTCGGAAGTGTGGCGTCTTCACCTACAGAAACTCTCTGCTTAACGCCCGTCCCACCTTCACCAGTATCCTCGCACAGATCACTCGCAAGCAAGAGGTCGTTTTTCTTTCTCTCTCACTTCACTGATC